ATTGTCTTACCATCTCCTCTGCCTCTCCATTGCCACAACCTTTGTTGATTCATTCTGAGTCACTGTAATCAGTCTAAATCTTACTGACTTTCTCACTTCCATGTTTGTCCACTTATAATCCATTCTCCATACAATACTAAATGGGGCCTTTCTGAGTACAATATAGGATAGATTGCTATTTAATATATATATATATATTTTAAAAATCTATCACTCTTTCACAGCTTACAAAGCTGTTAATGGGTTGAGTTGTTAATACTAAAAAGATGTCCTCTTTGAAGGTCTGAATGTGTACAATTTAGAAGTAAATGTTTTTGCATATATAATTAATGAAAATACTGAGATGAGACCATTTTGGGTTAGCCTGGGCTCTAAATCCAATGACAAGTGTCCTTTGCATGAGAGAAGGACACAGAGACAGAGGGAAGACATGTAAGGCAGAGGCAGAGGCTGGGGTGATGTCTCCAAAGCAAAGATAAACCTGTAGCCACTGAAGCTGGAAGACTCAGAGAAGGCTCATTCTCTCTCTCTCTCTCTGACTTTATTCACAGCCACATATGCTTTTAAAGGGCAGGGAGAGGTGCGGAACTAACTGAGGGGAACACTAACTAAAGGACGGAACTGATACTGGTGCCAATACGCCTCTTCAATCAGCTTGAAGGTAGCTCTCCAGGGGGGGCATGGGCCACACCCAGGGGCAGTTTACATGATTGGCAGAAGGCGAAGGTGCAAAGAAATTTGCCTGAGCTCGGGTTAACTGCTAGGATCGGCCACATCTCCTCCCTTTGTTTTAGGGCGAGCTTGACCCTGCTTAGAATGGCATGGCAACAAGCTGCAACCCACAATAAGCTTTGGGTTAAATTGAAGGGCACCTAGCACGGGGATGAAAGGCAGGAAGGATAAAGAAGAGCAAAGGGAAAAAGGCCGGACCAACCCCCACCATGTTTCAGGAGAGAAGGCTCATTCGCTAGGAGCTCTGGAGAGGACTTGGCCTGCTGACAGCCTGATTTGGGCTTTGGGTCTCTGAAATTATGAGAAAGTAAATGTTTGTTATTTTAAAACGCAAAGTTTGTAGTGATTTTCCTCTTTATTTATTTATTTATTTGAAAGACAGAGATGAAGAGAGAGAAGGGAGAGAGATGGAGGATACACACACACACACACAGAGAGAGAGAGAGAGAGAGAGAGAGAATCTTCATCTGCTGGTTCAGTGTCTGCAACAGCCAGGGCTGGGCCAGGCTGAAGGCAGGAGCCACATCTTCTTCCAGGTCTCCTACGTGGGTACAAGTGTCCGAGTATTTGGGCCATCTTCTGCTGCTTTCCCAGAAACACTAGCAGGGAGATGGATAGAGAAGTGGAACAGCCAGGACTCGAACCAGTGCCCACATGGATTGCCGGCACTCAGGCAGCAGCTTAACTTTCTATACCACAGCGCCAGCCTCTGTAGTGATTTTCTATCGTAGCCATAGGAAACTAATGCAAAGTTTATTCAACGTTATTTTTATATAATGATGGGATGCAAAGTGATATTATGATATATGTATACAATGCGGTAAGACTGAATCAAGCTAATTAACAATCCACAACTTTAAACAGGTATCATTCATACCTCCTGCCTAATTGCAGCTCTGTATCCCTTCACAAACATTTCCCCACTCCCCCAGCCACTAGCATCTGATAATCATCACTCTATTGCCTGCTTCTATGAGATATGTTATGTTAGATACACATATAAGTGATATCATTGTGCTATATTTTCTTTGTCTTGCTGTTTTATTTCACTTAGCATAAGATTCTCTCATTTCATTCATTTTGTTGCAAATAACAGGATTTTCTTTTTTTCTGAAGGCTGAATAGTATTCATTTGAGTTTTGGAAACAGGCTCACTGCATGTCTTGGTTACTGTGACTAATGATGCAATGAATATGGGAATTTTGATATCTTTTTACAGCACTAATTTCATATCCTTTGGATATATGTCCAGAAATGGTATTGTTAGATCATATGATGGTTCCATTTGCTGCTGATAGTATGCTGGGGTTCTTAATTTTTCCACATCTTTGTAAAGAATTGTTATTTTTATGTAATAGCCATTCCAATGGATGTAAAATGATATATCACTGTGGTTTTGGGTTTGAATTTCTCTCATAATTAGTAATTTTCTGACTTTTTCATATATCTGTTTCTCATTCTTCTTTTGAGAAATGTCTTTAAGATCCTTTGAGAATTTGGTGTTTCTGTATTTTATTTTCAATAAAATAAGTGTTTTAGAAGATAAATTGTATTTGGTTGTTTCACTTCATTATGTATTTTGGATATTAGCTCCTTATCAGATTATGATTTGCAAATATTGCCTCTCAACCTGTGGGATGTCTCTTAACTCTGTCTTTTGTTGTGTAATTTTTTTTTCATTTGATATAACCCACTTATCTATTACAGTTTTAAAGATTTGTTTAACCTAAAAGCAGAGCACCAGAACAGAGGGAGAGATCTTCCATCCACTGGCTAACTCTCAAATGTCCACAAGGGACAGGGCTAGGCCAGACAGAAATCAGGGACCAGGAATTCCACCCAAGTCTTCAATGCACATGGCAGGAACCCCAGCACATGGGCCATCATCTGCTGCCTCCCTGGCACATTAGTAGGAAGCTGGATCGGATTGCCAGGACTCCAACTGACACTCCATTATTGGATGCAACTGTCCCAAACACTGGCTTACTCCACTGTACCAAAGCATTCACCCCTATTATTATTTTTATTGCCTGTGATTTAGTCTGGGGAATTATTAATTGGATATAGCCATCATGTACAAGCAACAAAATGTATGCTTTAAAGGATCATATGCCAGCAATATGTCTAAGAGAAGCCACTGGGATTTATAATACATCATGACACCTCTTCTCAAAAAATTTGTAGTAAAGAGCCATTTTTAATTCTTTTAATATAATCCCCAAATATTGTAGACTACTGCTTTTATAAAATATACACTTGAACTCCTAAAAGTGAATTGAAAATGAAAACAAAAAAATACAAGGTAAAACTCCACTTTCAAAATTCTTAGATTAAACATAATGACTATCAAATTGCTATAGAAATTTCTAAAAACTTCTGGTCACAGACAACTACAAAGTGGTTCATTGAAAGATGCCAACCCCACAGTCACACTCTAACTGATTTGTGGCTTTATTTTTGTAACTTAAATAGAAATGTGAGATATGAAATGTTAGAGGCTGCTAGACCTCTATTAGTTAAAACTTTCTAAAACTTTACACTAATATCTTTTTAAAAAATATTTATTTATTTATTTGAAAGTCAGAGGTACAAAGAGAGAGAAGGAGAGGCAGAGAGAAAGAGATCTTCCATCCGCTGGCTGGTTCACTCCCCAGATGCCCACAATGGTCGGAGCTGCTCTGATCCGAAGCCAGGAGCCAGGAGCTTCCTCCAGGTCTCTCACGTGGGTGCAGGGGCCTAAGGACTTGGAACATCTTCTACTGCTTTCCCAGGCTGTAGCAAAGAGCTGGATGGGAAGTGGAGCAGCGGAGACTCAAACCAGTGCCCATATGGGATGCCAGCGCTACAGGCCGTGGCTTTACCCACTTTACCACAGCACTGGCCCCACTAATATCTTTTTAAACTAAGAAGTCAGCAGTCTTCCTGGTTACAAAGGGATGGTGGCATGACATTTTCAGTTTTTGGAAAGTCAGAAGCATAAATTTTTCTTGTGTCTCTGCACAGGTTTGTCTATTCCAATGGGATTTACAGACCTCTGCAGATCATAGCTCCACTGTGATGCAAATTATATTCTTTGTACAATCTCATATCATGAAACATTTTTCACATTCTGAATTTTCAACTATACCACTTAACAAATCTCAGAATTGGGTAGGTCCAAATAATTAGTTTGGTATTGTGGTTCTTGACTACTTTAGGGTAATACTATTATAATATGACTTCATCGATGTGCATTTATCACATTAACTCTGCAAGTAATTTTCTAAGTCATGTGTGCATGATAATTCTCTTAAGCATGACCCACACTGATAGCCATTGATAGAACCATACTCTTCTCAAAGCTGTTTCACACACTCAACTTTTTGTACAAGATATGGTTTGTTCCCTTAGATTTGTGTACTGAAAGCTTGCTTTCCAGAGTGACAATATCTAGACGTAGTATGGGATCTTTAAATGATGGAGCCAAGTGTGTGGTTCTTAGGCAAGCTGGGGGTGTGCCCTCTGAAGTAAGCTAGAATCAGAGGCAGATCAAGGACTCAAACCCAGGCACTTCGATATGGAATGTAGGCATCCCAAGTGGTATCTTAACAACTAGGCTAACATGTATCCCATAGCTCTATTCTTCACAATACAAGAATCCTACAAACAGCCCCATGAAAGATTGCTGTGATGAGTCAGGGAATATATGCAAATTTGGCAAAGGAAGCACAAAATGATGGAACCCATTTATGTCATAGACTCTGCTGGGAGAAACGGAGAACCATGGGAAGAGGGATGGAAGGACTGGAGGAGTCTCCAGTTATTTGTATTCATGGCTCACAGGCCCTACAGTGAGGGATGGTTGTTGGTCGTGTTCCTGCAAAATGAATTTTGGATCCCTTACCCTCAATACCCAGAGTCAGAACTTTTGTTGATGGTGAAGAATGGGACAAGGACAAATTTTCTCCTAAGACGGGGCGATGTGCATTCTGAAATTTGGTGAAAAGTACACAGCTTATTGAGGCCAACAGCTCCCCAAGTCTTCCTAGAGATTACTGAAGGTTAGCAAACACTACTCATGACTCCTCAGAAATATGGGACAATGTATTGGAAATTGGAGAAAAGGTCATTTTTGTTATGAAATGAGCTGAATTGTGTCTGTGCTAGAACTTTGTAGATGAAAGAACTTAAGAGTGATGAATTGTGGTATTTGGCAGAAGAAATCTCGAGTAGAGTGCTGCATGGTTTCGCTTAATTGCTTCTAGAAAAATGTGAAAAAAAACACACTGTTTAAAGACAAAATTTATTCTGGGAAGCTGAAAACAAACATTTGGACAATTCTCAGGCTTGTTAAAGAATATAACAGCATGTTTAAAAGGGAAAAAAAGGTGTGTGGTCAAGTTACTGTTCAATAAAGAAATTAGTATGAGGGCCAGTTTTTTGGCTCAGGAGGGTAAGCTGCCACTTGCAACACTGGCATTCCATATGAGTGCCAGTTGGAATCCTGACTGCTCCACTTCAAGCCAGCATTCTGAAATGGGCCACCAACATCACAGGCAGCAGCTTAATACACTGTGCCATAATGCCGACCACATGTAAGACAAATCTTTTATTATCTAAAAGATTGATTAATTCTTACATGACCTAAAATTTTAACTTCTAGAAACATGAATTTAAAATCTCTCATAAGTTTTACTCTGACTAAATATGATTATACAGTTCGGAAATACTAGAGAAATAAAAAGTGTAAATGCAACATAGAAATTAAAACTGAATCAAATATCATAAGTTTTACATTTGTCTCCACATCCCATACAAAGCAATGAAAGAAAATATGCTCTGACTTTTTTGTTGGAAAGGTTTTACTTTTCAGTCGTCGTCATCATCATCATCATCATCACTTGATTCTTCATCAGTTGATTCTTCATCAGTTTCATCCTCATCATCATCTTCATCTGTTTCATCATCTTCTTGTTTGCTATATTTTCTTCTTTCTAAAAATTCAGATTTATAAAAAATATCATTTAACAGTCCCTCTTAAATAATACTACTCTAACTAGGAACTAAAATAGTTTACCCCTCATTTTGTTAGAATAAAACCAATATGGCCTTAGCTTGTTACTCTACCTCCTACTATCCTTAACTGTCCATGGCCCTTTGGCTTTTTTATCTAGTGTTTGGATGTTTTCAGGTATTCAAATTTGAGGTTTGAACATTTTCCATTTCTGTTGCTGTAGAGGTCAAATAAGCCACACACAGATTTTATGTTCTATGCCACTTTTATGTATACAAATCTCTGTGAAAATGCTATATGATCTAATGAAAATGCTCCTTAATTTTTGATTATTGATTAGTTTTAACAGCATATTAAACAATATAATTAACTAGAAATAATCAAATTATTATCAAAAAGAGACATAGCCCTGGGGATGACTTATCATGATCTAAAATGCATGATAATGACAGAAAAAGTTAGGCCAATGCATAGGCATTTAATCAAGACTCCTTGGTGAGTAAATTAAATTACCGTTGAGTTTTGGGGCCATATGATGGGACAGTAGCAAGAGCATTTGAAAGTCTGGGGCATTGACTCACCCTTGATTTCATGGTGGAGTATCTCAGCCAAGCTTCTCTGATCAATTTTCTTCAGGACTTTCAAGACAACCTTCACTGCATAATCTGACCCATAGTGTTGGACCAGGATTTCAGCAAGATCTTCACTATCAGCATCTATAATTTTCCCCTTGGGAATATTATTAATCCTTTTTTTGAGTTTGACATAGGTGAGTTTACTTTTAAATTTCTTCAATTCTTCATCTACGAGTTCTTGAAGAGAATTTGCCAGTTGCTCACGTGCCATTTTATACTTTGCAGCCATTTTCCAGTACCTATTAATGAATTAAAAGCCAATTAGGTTAGCAAAGACTTATTGCTGAAATGTCAAAATTTCATTCCCAATTACTACTTCATGCTCATAATCATCAGGTAAAAAGAGGCATCCAGATAACTAACAGATGAATGTTAACAAGAGCCATGGTCTAAGGGAAAAGTCAATGTATATTCCATGAATGGATTCAATGTCCAGTGGAAAATCTTTAAGAAATCATTTATTCTATGGTGTGTGTTTTTGTCTGTGTGTTTTATTATCATAGTAACACTTAACATGAAACCTACTTTAATGATAAACTTTTAAGTGTAATTATATTCCATGGGGCCAGTGCTGTGGTGTAGTAGGCTGAGCCTCTGCCTGCTACACCAGCGTAACTGCCCCTCTTCTGATCCAGCTCTCTGCTAATAGCCTGAGAAAACTGTGTGAAAGATGGCCCAAGTGCTTGGGCCCTTGCACCCATGTGGGAGATCTACAAGAAGCTTCTGGCTCCTGGTTTCAGATTGGCTCAGCTCCAGCTGTTGCAGCCATTTGGAGAGTGAACCAGTGGATGGAAGACTTTTCTCTCTGTCTCTCTCTTTCTCTCTCTATAACTCTACCTCTCAAATATAAATAGAATCTTCAAAAAATTATATTCCTAACCATGTACAGATTTCTAGAACTTACTCATTTTTCATGATTGAACAGCACTTCCCTATTTCCCTCTTTCCTCAGCAAACACCAATTTATTCTCTGCTTATAAGAGTTTGACCATTTTAGATTCTACATTTGAGTGAAATCATTCTCTATAGTCATGCTGTAGGTACAATGTAAATGCTCATCAGTGGATGAATGAATAAAGAAAAATGTTTATATTGGCATATATACAAACTGGAATGCTATTCAGCCTTAAAAAGAAACACTGTCTGGTGTGGCAATGTGGATAGTATGTTAAGTGAAATAAGCAAGTGATAGAGAAATAAAGACTGCACGACCTTTCTTTTATAAGGTATCTACAGTGAATATGTTTTATAGGCAAAAGAAGATTGTAGACATAGAAGATTATAATACAAGAATTAGTAGGTTACTCACCAAATAGTAAGTCCTGGAATTTTCTATATGTAGGAAACTATTTCAGATTTCTTGCCCAGATTCCAATTTTGAGCAGCGCTCCAAATTTCCTATGAAGACTGGAACACAGACTGTTTTTATAGCCTTTTGGGAACAAAAATATTCTAACTTTATCTGATATGCTAAGTACTGACGCTGAAAAATGGTTGTACTCTATTCCAAAGAAATAAGAACAACAAAATATGACATAAAATATGAAAATGAAGTGAAGTCACTTCTGCCAAGAGCCTATAGAGATAGTGGAGAAATTCACCAATTGACACCATTGATGGCTGAAAGATAAAGGTTTCTAAAGAACTTCCAATATACAAATGTTTGGAGCATAGAGAAACATTTCAGGTGTTTTTTAGATAAACATATGAGAATGGATCTCAGAGAAGACTTTTTTGTGTATTTTTTGAAGTTTAACCTAATGAAAAAATGGTATTAAACAAAATAAATTTCATAAAGATTATAAATGTTATAATAGTAATTATTATTACTATTACAAAAGTAGGAGGGTACGATAAGAATATACACCAAAACTAGAGCTAGTAAACATAGATTTAATTATATTGCTTAAAATTTTTACATATTTCTTTATCTGGTTTTGTTTTCAAGCTATTGCAAAGGTACTTAAATAAGTTCACGGACAAATGGAATTAAAAGCTTAATTGAAAGTTTTTGGTGCAGAATAAATTTAATGTGCAGAATTTTTTTCACAACAGAAAATGTGTTGTGAAAAATAATGCATGAATTTTAATAAATTTGCATGAAAATAAACTTATACTTTTTATTCCATTTTCCATAAAATTCTTGATGTACCCTATATCAGCCTCATGAAATGAGAGCAGAGGTGTTCCCTAATCTTCTATTTTCTGAAGAGCAATGTGTAAAATTACTGATTATTTTTCTTTGAATGTTTGGTAAAATTACCCAGTGAAACTATCTGGTCTGGGAGACTTGCTATTATATATATATTATAAATTCAGTTATTTAATGGTTATAGTAGCATTCAAATTTTCTACTACATAATTTTAAAATATTGATAGTTTGTGATTTTTGAACAATTGATCCATTTCTTTCAAGTTGTTGAATTTGTGATAGTAAATTTTTTTCTTTTATAATGCTACAGGATCTATTATGATGTCCTACATCATTTTAATAATAGTGACTTAAGTCTTTTTCTTCCTCTGTCAATGTTGTTAAAAGTTTATCAACAATATGTTTTTCCAAATAATAAAATTTTATCTTATTTATTTATTTTTCTGTTTTTTTATTTTCCATGTTATTGTTTTCTGCTCTTATATTCATAATTTTCTTCCATTTAATTGACTTAGGTTTATTTTTCTAGACTTTTTTTTCTAGTTTCTTTGAGGTATGAAAATAGCATATTTACTTAATATAAATTATTTTTCTTATAGATGTATTTAGTGCCACAAATTTCCTTCCCAGGATTGTTGTTACCTGTATCCCACAAATCCTGGTATGTTCTATTTTCATTCTTATTCTCCTACATGTTTTTTTTTTTTCACTTACTCTGAGCTATCCTATATGAATTATGGATGACTTTAAAGTGTGTTGTTTCATTTCTAACTGGCTAGGTATATTTCTGATTTCTTTCTGTTATTATTATTATTTGTTTACTCCCATTATGGCCAGCTAATATTCTCTGTATAACTTCAATTTTTCTATGTGTTTTCGATTTGCTATATGACCTAGGATACGACCTATACTGATGAATGTTATGTTGGTGCTTGTAAAGAATGTATACTTGAGTATTTCATGAATGTTCTATAGGTAAAATTGAATTCAGTAATATTTTTGATCTACCATGATATACCATTGACATCCAAAGAGTCTTGATTCAGTTATATGAATAAGTATCATAGTTATTATAGTTTTTATGTATTTTGCTCATATTTGTTCATGTTTTTTATTTCCATTCTTTTTATGCCTTTTTATAGGATTTTACTTTTTTTTCTTTCTTAGCATATCAGGTTTTGCTTCATTTTTGTGTAATATTTTTAGTGGTTGCGTTAGTGTTTGAGATATACACATAAACCTAATCCATTTCTATTTTCAAATAATTCAAAACTCCTTCATGAGTAGTTAATTTTACATGTCATTATACCTTATAATAACAAAATCATTCTAATTCATCCCTCATGTCCCTGTTTCATTGCTGTTATTCATTCCACTTACATATAAACATACACACACATAACATATAAGAATACATAATTGAATGAAACAGTGGTGTGTATTATGATATCAATTAAGAATAAGAAAAATCGGGATGAGTATTGTAGTGCAGCAGGTTAAGCTGCCATTAGGGAGGCCTACATCCCTTATAGGAGTGCTGATTTGAGTCCTGGCTCCTCCACGGCAAATCCAGCTTTCTTCTACTGCATTTTGGGATGTAACTGATGATGGTTCACGTATTTCAATCCCTGCCAGAAGCATAGGAGACCCAGACAGATTTTGTGTTCCTTGCTGCAGCCTGGCCTACACCTGGCTGTTGTGGGCATTTGTGGAATGAACCAGCAGATGGAAGATCTTTCTTTCTCTCCATATCTCTTTTGGATAAATAAAAATAGATAAAACACTTTCTTAAAAGGATAAGAAAAATATATATTTTCATGCTATCTTCATTTATTTTGTCTGCAATGAATTCCTTTTCTTTATAGATCTGACGTTCTGATCTATATCATTTTCCTTCTCTTGAGAGAATTTTTAACACTTCTTACAAGGTAGAATGTCAAATGCCTTTTCTCTACCAATGAAAATATTATATATTTTTCTTCTTTAGAAGATTAATACACTAGATATTATTGTGTTATATTACTCTTTGTGATGTATTTTTAGATTCGATTTGCTAAAATTCTTAAGATATTGATTTATATCACAAATGGATTTTTCCATCTCTCTATACAACTTTTGACATTTATTTTTGTTTGTATGAGAAGGCTTATATTTCTTTTTCAGTTTTTAATGAAAGATTCATAGGATACAGAATTCTAGCTTGGTGATTTTTTTAATTTCAACACTCTAAATATTTTACTTCACTGTCTTCTTGCTTGCATGGTTTCTGAGAAGTCATATGTAATTCTTATCTTTGTTCCTCTGCAGATAAGGCATTCTCCCTCTCATTTACCCACGCCCCACCACACCTTGCCACCTCTGGCTTCTTTCAGAATTTTTTCTTTACCCTGATTTTCTGTCATTTGAAACTGATGTGTCTAGTTGTAATTTTTTGGCATCTATCCTATTTAGTATTCTCTGAGTTTCCATTAATTTAGGGGTATTCTCAGTCACTCTTGCTTCATATACTTCTGTTACTTTCTCTTTTCTCTGTCTGGAATTCTCAAAAGTGCATGTTACACCTTTTATAGTGATCTCGCAATATTCTATTCTGTGTTTGAACTCTTTGTTCTCTTTGAATTCCAATTTTCAAAGTTTCCACTGATAAAAACTCAAGCCCAGATATTCTTTTTTCATCAGTCTCCATTCTATTAAGAAGTCCTAGCAACACTATTCTTCACTTTTATTATGGTATTTTTTTTCCCTCTGGCATTTCTCTTTGGATCTTTCTTATGCTGCCATTACATTACACATCTAATTTGATTGATGTCTCCTTTATCCATTACATTCTTTAGCATCTTTATCAGAGTTGTTTAAAAATTCACAATCTAATGATTCGAAATTCCTTCCCACTTTGTGTCTGATACTTGCTGTGTTTCTTCAAATTATGTTCCAAATTGAGCTTCTTGCTATTCATTATAATATTTTTTAAGATTTATTTATTTATTTGAAAGGCAGAATTACAGAGAGGCAAAGGCAGAAAGAGAGAGAGAGAGAGAAAGGTCTTCTATCCACTGGTTTACTCTTCAGATGGCTGCAACAGCCGGAGCTGTGCTGATCTGAAGCCAGGAACCAGGAGCTTCTTCAAGACTCCCATGTGAGTGCAGGGGCCCAAGGACTTCGGCCATAACAGAGAGCTGGGTTGAAAGTGAAGCAACTGGGACTCGAACCAGAGCCCATATGGGATGCCAGCACTGCAGGCAGTGACTTTATCTGCTACACCACGCTAGTCCCTATGATATTTTCTTAATAATTAAACATGAGGTACTGGGTAATTGCTACTGCTGTGAACAGGCCTTTAACAAGGATAAGATTTTTGGCAGAGGGGAGGAATTTTATATTTCCATGATCATATCTTAGCACTTAAATATCACTATGCCTCTATACCATGATTGACAAATATTCCCCACTCCTTTTTCCCCATGTCCAGGTGGGACAACATGTATGGAATAAGCAGGAGTTGGATGTAGAAGGTTAGAGATGACTGGAGTTGAATATTTACTTTGCCCCAGGCTAGTTATATACTAACACCACCCCCAAAAAGTAAGACTCTGGTTTCAACTATTCTATAGCTGATAACAGAGTACTTTGGTATATTTCAAAGTGATTAATTTTGCTCTCTCCTTTCCATAAGCTTGATGAATTTTTTTCCAGTGTTTACTGTGTAGATATGTAGGACTCATGGAAGTTAAAACACAAAAATATGAGGTGACCTTAAACTGGATCTTTCTAGAATATTAACTGATCAGATTATAATTCAAATTATATTACTTTTTTTCATAGACATTTCTGATTGTGGATTGCTATTCTGATAAATTGATTCTCTTTTTCTGTTCTATTTTTCCAATTTTTTGTTGGTGGTTTGTTCCGTGATCCCACATCACTATCAGATCTAAATATTATCATCATACTCAATGGAGAAAAGCAAAACACCTCTACTATTAAGATCAGGAGCAAGACAAGAAGGCCCACTCTTGCCACTTCTATTCAAAATAGTCCTGGAAATCCTAGACAGAGCAATTAGGCAAGAAAAATACTTAAAAGACATCAATATCATGACAAAATTAAAATAGCTTTTGTTTGAAGTAGAAATAATTTATATGTGGAAAATTCTAGCCTCCACAACAAAAAATAGACAAGAAATTCAAAAATGTTACTAGATGCAAAATTAACATACAGAAAATAGGTGTTTCTATACTCAAACAACAAAATATCTAAAACTGAAATTAAGTAAGTAATCC